GGAAGGAAGGAAGGAAGGAAGGAAGGAAGGAAGGAAGGAAGGAAGGAGAGAATGCGAGGAAGGATGAGAAGGAGGGGAGATGAAGAAAGGAAGGAAGGAGAGAATGAGAGGAAGGAAGAAAGAGATGAGAAGGAAAGGAGAGAGAGAGATGAAGGAAGGAAGGAATGAAGGAGAGAATGCGAGGAAGGATGGGAAGGAAGGAAGAGAGAGGAAGGAAGAAAAGAAAGGAAGGAAGGAAGGAAGGAATGAAGGAGAGATTGCAAGGAAGGAAGGAAGAGATGAAGAAAGGAAGGAAGGAGAGAATGAGAGGAAGGAAGGGATAAGGAGAAGGAAAGAAGGAGAGATGAAGGAAGAGGGAGATGAGGAAGGAAGGAAGGAAAGGAAGGAAAGGAGATGAAGAAGGAAGGGAAGGAAGCAAGGAAGAGTTGAGGAAGGAAAGGGAAATATGAGGAAGGAAGGAAGGAAGCTTGAAGAGGGCCACAAGGAGTGGGGAATAAGGCTGGAAAAACCACGGGCGGGGAAAAGACAGCAAATCCGAGGTAGAACCAATATTTGGTTGGGGAAGGACGCTCATCCGTGCTTGGAGGGGGGGAGACCGACAGCGAGCAGAAACCCTCGCAGGGGGCCGAGAAGGAAAGGGGGTACTTGTAGTGACACCCCTTCCCTGCGCTCGGCCAACTCCGGAGCATCCTTAAATAGCCCCTCTCGGCTTCCCGGCCGTTTACAGCTGCGCGCAAAGGAGAAAGTTTCGAGTTACAGTCCCGGCCCTCTGTGACTTCGAGGGCTATTTTTGGGACCCAACATTTTTGCAAAAAGAGAGAGAGAGAGAGAGAGAGAGATGGGGGGGGGGGGGGCGACGACGTCAAAGCGTTTCCTCTCTTGCCGCTACTGAAAGACGCTGTCCCGAAGTCCCCAAACTCTTTAACTTTTCCCAAACTCTCTTTGCAACCTGGAGAATTTGCCCAGCTGTTTTTCTTGACAGGTTCTTTTTGTGTGTGGGGTGGTGGTGGTGGTGGTGGTTTGCTTTGAGCCCTCTCTGCTTTCCGGTGCCTCTATACGCATGTGCAAAATTAGAGCTGTTTCTCTCCCCCCTCCTTAAAAAAAAAAGCTATATAAGGGAACTTAAATGTTGCTTCTACAACAGCAACAGTTCCTTGTTTCGTTTCGGCAGGGCTGCAACGCGGCCCTCTTTGAGGTGTGAATTTCAGCACCTCCTTTTGGAAAACAACACACCTGTCTTTGATGGAAACAGATGCAAAATTCACGGTTAAGAAAAGACAGCAGGAAAAAAAAAAGATTTAAAATCTGGCCAGGGACAGACAGAAGAGACTTGAAAGGATCCAATGGAATCGCTTTGTTTTGTTAGTGTAGAAAAATTTCAGTTTCTTTTTAAAATAAAAATAAAAAGATGGACAATTGTTATTAAGCATCGTTCTTACTTATTATCCCTTTAACTCATCTTCTGTGGGCTTTATAAACACTGATCGGCTGGTTTAGCAAAATCCAAATTGTTTTAAAGGTTTCAGCTCAGGTTTATCAGTTCATTACCTAACTAGATCCATTTTTTCTCTGTTACTTTCTGAGATCTCCAGTGGGTTACTTAGAGATCTAGAGAGAGAGAGAAAAGTTAAAACCGAATTGCATCATTACAAATCTGCAACTGCATGCAAAATTGCCTTTTTCAAGTGATTTAAGGAAGCCTGATTTTTTTTTTATACCAAGTATCCATTTCCATGAGTTCTGCCACAGTGTGAAGGAAAGCAATGTTTCCTTCCACGTTTTCACAAATTTTAAAACCCAACTTTATATTCGGTGAATCAAGAGGATTGTTGCTTAATTTGGAAGCACCCTGTCAGTCACTAAAATAAATCTGGCACTGACCACAAATACATGCATCTTGCAAAGAATAAATAAATATAAAGACTAAACTAGGCTTAAGAATAGAAATTATCGGGCTACTCTTTCTGAGGCTAGAAGTATCACCATGGAAGCAAGAATAAAAGATTAATTTTGAATTTAGATTTAGCAAGGAAGAAGTTGTGTGCTAAATAAATAGGGTTTCTGTACAGCATCTTTAAACCTTGATTTCTGTCTGTAACTGATCAGCCAGGTATTCTTCTATAAGGCAGCTCTGAATTAAAATTGCTTTGTTTGACAAGACAAGGACATGAGAATTCAGTTTGGAAATAAGCCATCGGAATAGCCGAAGGATATGGGTATAGGTAGAGATAGATAAAATAAGACAGAATAATAGGGTTGCTATTATGTCTGCTTGCTTAGATGACAATAACCAGATTTAATTTTAAAACCTTTTCTTTACAAAATGAAAATGTAGACAGTCAAATTCAGGAGGCCTACCCGATAAATAATTAAATGCTGGCCTTGTTATGTGAAAAATTAGCAGCTAATATGTTTGTCTGTTTGAAATTGGATATATGACTGTAATATGGTCAGTTTCAAATAATGTGTACTGAAATATGAATACTTAGCCACAGATATACACAAGCCCACAAACAAATGGATTTGTTGTTGTTTTTTTAATGGAAAAGGCATTTAAAAGGCATCCAGTGTCTGCAATAATATTTAGGAACAAAGATCTTCCCTGAATAACCGGTTTGAAACAATTGATAATATACTGAGTGCTAGAATGCCTTGGTTTTATGCTAATCTCTGCCTTATGTCTTCACTTAGTCATTTAAAAAAGACTATATACTATATGATTTCACTGGTGCCTTCAGACACATTTTTAAGCCCAGAAATATTTTATCAATTCCCACTTAAATTAAATTATTTGCCGGAATGTATTTGTTTTGATAGGGTCATGTGCCAACCGTTGCAATTTGTCATTTTTTAAAATATGAACTGGTGGCAATATTTGTTAGCAGCATGTCATTTTAATGTTTGTGGTATATTTGCATATTGTATAGCCAACTTCATATAGTGTGAACTTGTGTGATTGTTCAAGTGACAGGCAGGCTAAACTTTGAAATACTATGCTGTATTAAGAATTGTATTGAAACGTTCCATCCTTAAATGCATGGGAAAAGAAAACACTTGCGATTTATACAATATTTAAAAGGATTTGAAAGTGGAAAGATTGTACTATAGTCATTTGAGAAGGATATTTTGCTCTCTTTATGCTGTATGTTTTTAAAACACAAGCTTCTTATTTCAGATTTTTTTTTAAAAGGAATGCTTTGTCTGGGGAAAAAATGTTTACATCTTTGTGTTCCCCGAATTCAGGACTTAAAACCCTTGCATTTCATTGTCAACTTGTAAACGCATGTTCTTTGTCATATCTAATGCCCAGATTCAGTGTAATTTTTCATAGCTTACATTCTCCATAAAAAAGAACGGATTTGGAGACGAGCACGTTAGCTTTCCAGAAAATAACTACAATTTAAAACGCCCATTTTTCAAAAATAAAAATAAAATGCACCAGTTTTGTGCCTTCACCCATTAGCAAATAAATAGTGGACAGAATCGCAGCCCTGAAGTCATTTTTATAATTTTTACAAGATTTTTTTTTACTTTATTTCATTTCTTATTTTTACAAAAATTTGCTTTCTTTGGAACATGAGGTATACAAAGGCTCTCATTTCTAGAGGTTTTTAATGGCTAATAGGGGATAATATCTGATCCAGTTTGATGCTTGGGCTGCTCTCTTCCAATAAAATGCAAGCGATTGGTATAAATATGTTCAGTATGGTATTTAAAAAGCCTGTTCCTTAATGGCAGAGTAGATATTACCGAGTTAAGGTCCTCCTTGGGGTAGGGAAGATTGAGTAGCTAATTTTACATCCTAAGTATAACTTTTGGATCCTGTTGCAATGCAGTGCTGAATAGCAATATCTTTACAGCCAAGGCATTTCAGGGATTAAAAAAAAAATTTTTTTTCCCCTCTGGGTCATTCATTGTGCATTGAATAATATATTACTTGGGCTGTCTAGAGGGCACAAGTCTTATCGGGGACCATTATTTTACGTAAATCAAAGAAAAGCAGAGGATTCAAATAAAGGTATTTGTTTTCAGCCAGATGCTTAAAGAGTTTCCTATACCAATTTCCTCTTATTCTTTAACCTGAGCCAAATGCTGCTTGTTAGCTGTCACAGCAAGAAGGATAAACTGCTTTTGAAATTATTTTGGAGGGAGGTCATTATTGTGAATATTATCATTTATTCTGTTGCTTTGCACTCTTTACACTGAGAGCTTCTGCATGGAGACAAATTCCTTGTGTGTCTAAACCAGACTTGGCTGAATAAAATATTCTTTTCTATTGAACTTATAGTCTCACCCTCTGAATAAAATGTCCTGTTAGTGAGAATATGTGCTCTGGAAAAAATATTTAGATCTGCTGATAGATTGAGTGGGGCCAAATATGTTGAAGGAGCACTTGGTTTATTTTTAGGGACAAAGGCAGTCATTTGGAAGGAAGGTCTTGCATTTTCCTTTTAACTTCTTGGCTCTGTGTTCTTTTCTTTTTTTAAAAAAAAAATCTGATAGTACTATAGCTGCTGAATGTTGGAAGGCAGTTGCTTTCTTGTCACTGAGATCATTTTTCTCTTTGAGAGGCTCGAACCCTGAAAACAAAACCCTGTTTTGTTTTTGTATTTCTGCGTGAAATCTTTAGATGTCAAAGCAAGGGAGCTAATTAATCTTCCTATTTTTTTAAAAAAAGTATTCTGCTGTGGGTAAAACTCTATTCCTGTATGTGCTACATTTTCCCTTGGTCAAACAAAGGGAAAACCTTCTCTATTTGTCTGGTGGAAGGCTTGGTTATCGTA